GGTTTTGGATTGAAAACCATGTGAGTGAAGAGCCCACGGAAGTGTAAAGGCACCATAGACTAGATATAGAACATTTTTTGGATATGTTTGAGTGCTATTATTGGCAAGCATCATGTTAAGTGCTTTACATATGGTTTTGAAAAAATTACTAATTTCAGGAAGGAGGGATATGGATGACAACCAGCCCAAAAATGCCTAACCTCTTCCCTTGATGGTGATAATATAAGTGGTTTGTACATCCTCCCTCCCATCTTTCCTCCCTGTCTCTCTTTACACTATTTCCTGTAAGTCTTCCGGTACCCATCAGCCAAGAGTAAACAGGCTGGTATTAACCTACAGTTCAAGGAAACTCATTTTTATCAAGCGGGAGTGTCAGGCTTCTGTAGAGATTCTGAGGCTGGCCATGAGGGGTAAAAAGCAAAAACAGCAGAGATTTGATGGCCTATTGAAAACTCTGTGGGGCAGTTCTACTCCGTCACATGGAGTTGCTATGAGTAGAAATTGACTCCATGGCCCCTAACCTAACATTAATAACCAAGTCAAGTCATAGACCAAGTGTTTCAGAAGACACAAAGATGATTTCTTCTTTAAATTCTTTAAGGTCTAAGGAGATAGGAAAAAGCAGACAAGAGATGCCTTTAGGGAGGTGTTACGGAAGAAGGAGCAAAACCACATACCATGGGTGAGATTAGAGAAGAAATCAGAGAGATAGTGACATTTGATATGGGTCTTAAATAACTGATAGGACTTCTTTTTTCTGGATGTAAAGTAATCAAAATTCATAGGAAATTTGAAAAATAGAAAAATTATGCAGTAGAAAATCAGTCATATATAATTCCATCACCTAGAAACTAGTATACTTAACATTTTAGTATATTTCCATTTTCCACCAGGCTTTTATTTTCTGCATATGTATGAGTATTTTAGAAGACTGGAATTTTGTTGTGTGTATTGAGTTGTATTACCCTGTTTACCTTAATATAATGTGATGAGCATTTTACCATGTCATTGTTGTATCTTCAGACACATGATATGTTAAAAACAGTGATCTATATTGCTGGGAGGGCAGTCTGCTTCTAGGATTCCCATCCAGACTGCCTAAGCTGAGGTCTTGGGCTTAGAGCATTCTCTGATAAGGAGGCTGGGAATTGGGGCTCACTCCCTCTTGCAGTTTCTTTTCCTTGTCAGAGAAGGTATCTCTGTTCTGAGCTCATAGTAACTTTCTCTGTCTCCGTGACTACCTATGACTACTTAATTGTCCTAAAGTAATTAATCTTGTAGCTAGAGGGGAAGTAATGTACACTTTGGCCACAGGATGGTCATACTGTTTGCCCCTGAACAAAAGCACCCTCCTCTTATCTCTACCACCCCTTGCTTCCATGCTGTCCAGCACTTAAACACCCCTCCGTTTATCAGTTTATCTCTATAAGACCCTGGTTCGTGTTCTTCTTTGTTCTCTCCCCCATGGTGCATGAGGGGTGTGCGTGGAAGTGACAAAACCTTACACCCTTGAACGGGAGCCTTTTGAGAGAAGTTGGCTCTTGATACTCATCAAAAGCTGCAGGTATCAAGAGCTATGAGTCGGAATGGACTCAACAGCCATGGGTTTGATTTTTTCAGGCTCTTGATAAACCCATACTTTGTTTATCATCGTCCTGATTACTGAGAGTAATAAAAGCCTGTGACAAGGCAAGTAAGTAGTGTGATTATTCATTCTGATCCAAAGAGCCCTGCACCATTCCATCTGATTTATTTCACTCTGCACATTGCATATATTCCATTGATTGGTGGTACTATCCTGTATTTAACCAATCCCTGATTTAGGCTTTGGAGTTGTTGACAGTTTTTCATCATGAAGTCGGGTACTGTGGTGAAGGGATGTATATGTACATAAGTATTTATGTACATCACTGATTATTCCTTTAAAGAGAGACTCTTTGAAGTGAAATTACTGAGTCAAGGGTTATGAATGGTTTTGTGCACACTGTGTTAGTATGAACAGTTTACTGTGCACACTAGAAAATATCAGCCTGCACCATCAGGAGTACTGTATGAGACAGCCTTGCTGTATTGTGCCATTGCCAACACTAGTATATGCATGTGTGTATCATCTTTTTATTTTTACAAATTTGATGGGTTAAAAAGAGCATCTCATATTGGTTTGCTTTTTGTTGTTAGTGAGGTTGAATATTTTCCCCTTTTATTGGGATGACATTTGTATTCTTTTTTTAACTGCCTGTCCCATTCTTCTAGAATGTTCATCCATTTCTTACTGACTTATAGCAGCATTTGCTTATGTTTTAAGGAAGTAAACCATCTTATATATGTTGGTCACTGCAAGGATAATAATCAACATAAATCAAATCCCCACTTTTTCACATCTCTGTTCAACTTTGACACTAGCTTTCCATGCAGCACTTCTGTCTGTGACCTTAGCCACTGAAGCTAAGTCAGATCTCACAAGTTCAAAGGGCACAGTCCTCCAGACTGGCAAGTAGTAGGGCAAGGACTTCAGATGCCACCCACAAGCTTGGGTGTCCCCATGACCTCCACACTTCTGAGCTTCTGGCTACAAGTTTGAGGCTTTCACATTACCTCTTCATGATGCCAGCCACAAACTCTGGGGTTCTCCTCCCCTCCTTCACATCTGATCTCCTAGCTACAAATTCAGAGGTTCCCTTTTTCCCCTCAGGATGCCAGCGACAAGCTCAGGGGTTCCTAGCGACCCTCACTTCTGCCCTGCTGGTTCCCACTACTCTTTTGGGTTCAAAAATTTGATGGAATGACTTACAGAATTCACAGAAAGCTCTATATTCACAATTACAGCTTTATTGTGGGGAAAAAAGGATACAAACAAATACATAGGGTGAGGTCTAGGAGGGTTTCCAACATGGAGCTTCTTTGTCCCAAAAAAAGGGAGTGCTACCCTGTCATGTACATGGATGTCTTTCACCAACCAGGAAGCCCATGGAGAGTCCATGTCCAGAGCTTTTACTGGTGATCTCATTACATAATGCAAACTCCAGCCCCTCTCCCATGAGGTGGGCTGATATCACCAGGTGATCATAAGGCTGGCTGTCCTGGTCAGACCCCATTCCAGAGCCACCTCATCACCTCTCTTTACCCATTAGTTAGGTGTGGTCTGAAGTCCTTATCAAAGACACTTAAATTAGAAGGTTTTTTGTTTGTTTGTTTTTTAGAGATTATGTCTCAGGAATGGAGGACAAAGACCAAATTCTTTGGGTAAACTTAATGTAAACCCCGCAGCCAGATTAAATAAGCTGGTAATATACTGTTTAAAGTGCATGCATCTGTGTGACTATATAGTCATGGTGCTGCACAGTGTCTGTCTGGGCAACGTCAGACAACATATATACATCCATGGTTTGTTTTGTGCCCTCCTAGGGATTCCCACAGCCCAACTCAGCAGTGTGCCCTCCCTGCCGCCCCCCACCCCCGCCCACAGGAACAGGCACCCCTGCCGCTGGGAGGAGTGTGTGCCCAATCCTGCTTCTGAGTGTCTAAGGTCAATAGGCATTGTGGGCCTGACTGGGGCAGGGGCGCTGCTTGCTGCTCCCCTGCTGCCCTGGCTGGCACTTGCAGCCTCCCAGCGGTGACCTTCATGGAGCCGCCCACCGGGCAGGAGCAGGCCGAGTGCTCACCTGAGGTGTCCATTGTGGACGCTG